CTAATTATCGTCAAGGCAGATAAACGCACAGTAAATAAGCTAAAAATGTTTTTCTTTTTCTAACCAACGTTTCTGACGAATAGTTCCATTAAATTTGGAGGTATTAGTCTGTTTTTTAACAATAGATTTCTGGTATATATATATATAGTATTTTGAGCTAAACAATCTGGTATTCTCGCCAAGAAAAAAGCTAGCAGCATTGCTACTGAGTGCAGCAGCAGCGCTTGTGCTGCAAGAGGCAGGGCGACTGGGAATCGCTCGCTTGTCAATCAATTCGTTGCCCGCCTGAAGCGCACGTAAACGCTGCTCAGATGGGCGGTGACGCGCTTGACGCCCGCGTGCTGCCCCTAGTGTAAACGGGCTTTAAGGCGAATGACTGAAGTTCAGCTGAAAACTTTACTGGGATCGCTGTGAATTGCCAGTCAACTTTTTTTTAGTACTGCTACTAAGATGGCCAACACAATCCGGCTCATATCCGTCATGCAAGAAATGAATTCTACCACAACGTTAAACGAACCTTACAATCTCATATTCCTGTCATCTACACTTTACTTGCATTCTAATGCAACTAAAATGATAGCAATATTCAAAGTAATATATAAATATTTTTCAGCACTACCATCATGTATGAGAACAAATATCTAACATGCATATTCACCCTAAAAAATATCCTCAACAAGTTAGCAAATAGGTAAAATTAGCTCACATGTTTTAGTAGAATTTTTGCAGTTGTGTGTGGGGCATATATAGAGATATGGCCTCAGTATTGACCATAGTGTTCTGAGGGGCCTCCTTTGCTGGCCAGACAATGATCTTTTTGGACTTTTGTCCAAATTTTTTGGGTAATTATAGTAGGTATATGTCATGCATGCAGCTATCACGGAGCTATTCTTTAGAAACGTTAGAACTTTTCATTGTCGTTGCACAGGTGAAAAATGTGCAAACAAGTGTATTGAGTATTGCGTGATTCTGATCTGTAATGAGTACAGTAAAGTAAGTCATAATTAATGAACGTCAGGTGGTGCAACACTTCATGAGGTTTATAGCTATTTGATAAGCACTTAAGGTATGATGTAAACTTTCTACATGAATACATGAAGAAAAGTAAGTTATTAGTCTCAACTTCTAAAAAACTTTATATGATTAGATATATTTAGAGATTTAAGGTCAGATTAGGATTTTACGTCAGTCAATTCCTTTTCACACCATTAATGATTATGGGTAACCCGCACAAAAGTTATTTTTCAATTAATAATAGAATTTGATGTCACTTGAAAGAGGTTGTAGAATCATTATATTACCATATAACATTTATATTTTGAAATACATACAATATTATATTTTGAAATGAGGTCATATAAAATTTAAGTTATTTTATTTTCCAAGCAGAATTGGAAAACAGCTATTTGGTATATACTGAAATTTTGTTACCGCACAGTCATATTTTTAGTAATATAGTCTAGTCATATTATTAGCAATCTGGCAATACTAAAGGCAAGTATTTTTGTCAAATCTGAAATCCTACTGCTTGTATCTGCCAAAATTTTCATTTAATAAATGGCATATCAATTTGATCATTGACCTAATTATTTCAGTCTTTTCAGCAATCAAACAATCATGTCTCTCATCCATCAACAAAAATAAGATAATATTAATCCATAATTTACCTGATAATGAATAAAAAATTCATGCTACAGTAAAATAATCACTTTTGGCACGATATCTACCAAGACAGCAACTGAGAAGCAGATAAAAAATTTTGTTTCAAATCTCTGAAAATGATTTACAGCTCAAATGTTGATGGTTTCAATATCCATCTTGCTGGATCACTTAGTTTATCAAAAAATATTAGTTAATTTAGGAAGAAAATTTTTTGTACCAGTCAATAGTTTACAATATGAGATTTGCTAGCGTTCATATAGTGTCCCTCTAACCAGACAAGTACCAATAAACAGAGTTTCAAATCCTTCAATCGACAGTTCTAGAAATGTATGCTAATATTATTTACACCTGCTTCCACGAGTGGCAGTATGAACAATTATTCTAAATTTGGCCGTCTTGGCATGTCAAATGCAGCGATTCCAATGTCACTAGAGTAACAGGGTTACAAATTTTAATTACTGATAGCTGGCAATTTTTTCATTTCAAGTACTGGAAACATCACTAACTTGAGGCACATGTCAGTGATGTCACAATAGAACCGACTCATTCACAGCACTTCAATGTTGGTTAGGATATGGCGCAGTACCGACTAAGGTATTAGCACCCGAATTCAGAGCAATGATCGAGACATTTACTTACTTACTTGGTTAAGATACGGCGCAGCACCGACGAATACCGAGACATTTGAGCCCCGTCCACACGCTCAAACTTATCGTCAGTTTTGCATGTCGTGCCAAAGTTTGACCGACAAGACGGAAGACTGACGAGCGTCTACGTTCAAACTTTCCTTCAGTCTTGTGCGCTCACGGCAATGCAGGAGCTAGTGTTGCTCGCTGCAGTGATCACAGTCCGTGCCACCAAAATTAGTTTAGACTTTAGAGTGATGCAAACGTACGCAGTTTTCCCGAAAATGGTTTTTAAAAAATACCACAAACAATGAGGGTTGATAGACAGCATCCCTATCTGCACCAGACAGCATTGACGACTTCATTTTGTCACATTCTTTTCGATAAAGAGTTTATTGTCTTAGTTACAAAGTTTTTGTTTGCTGAAAGATCAGCTTCGTTGCACTTAGCAATTAATCAATGGCCAGTGCTCTCTTGTTCCTGTCACTGTGTTTTTGATTGAATTTGCTAGAAAAAAGGGAAAATACGATATAATTCGATAAACTCGTCAAAAGAAATCGTGAAACTAGTGTCGGATATCTTGAGATATGAAAAACTAGAGCTAGCGAGGAGCAATGTCACAGCTATCAACAATAGTATCGACTGTGATAGAGTAATAGTTTGAACAATTGTAAGTTGCCCGTCCACACGCTCAAACTTATCGTCAGTCTTGCATGAACCCAAAAGTCTCGCCCTTCCGTCTTCTCCAGGTTTTTCAAACCTCAAACTCGGCCCACCCGTCATGCAAGACGTCAAACAGCCACTCAGTCAAACTTTGAGCGTCCACACGCTCCGTCTTGTCGCCACACCTGACATGGCATGCAAGACTGACGATAAGTTTCAGCGTGGGAATGGGGCTTTGGTTCTGTTCCACCGTTATTGAAATCGAATGGCTACCAACCGACAGACATGGCTGCCAACCGACGACGACCAAGTTAACTTTTCAATAATGTTCATCCAAGGCATAAAGATAGTTTTTTTCAATAATCGTGTGATCGAATTTTACGTTGCATTAATTTTAGAAGTAAACACGTTCACAGCAGGCTGAAGTATTCAGCGAAAACTAACGACAGACGAGCGACTCAGATAAGTTGTTCAAATTTCAAGGTATTGATAAAGGTGAGATGCTGCCACACGGAAGACCTAGATTGTAGTTTACGTTCTAATGCTCGAGCTAAAAGGGTAGGCGTTTATAAATTTCATGTTTACATGAAGTCACTTGAGTTGATGATAGAGAACTGGTATTTAATCCGAAAAATAAATCGTACTGAATTATTTAATGAAAACCTAGTTTAAACGTGATTTAAAACTGGTTAGCGGCCTATAAAAAAACTACAACATAACATTTGGGAACTTGATAAAACTATAGAAGTGAAGTTTATGACAATGATTGGAGTCTCCAGTCCAGCCCCATCCCCTCCAGTCCCCTCATTACCTAAGTGCGCAGTCCTACATCGTCTCGCACTTTCATTGCGACGACGGCCTGGGTACAGCAGCAAGTGCCTCAGACGCTATCGGAGTTTTCTCCATGGCTAAGAACATCTTAGCACGGTCTGAGATTCGGCTGCATAAGATAGTGTCCAATTCGCCAGATGTTCTTGTCGCTTTCTCGCCAGCGAAAGAGCGGTTGAGCCCGAAGTAGAATTTTTAACGCCCCGACTCCGAGCACTCTCGGCGTAGCTTGGAATGTCTAGACGACTGTTTCACGCTCAAGATCAGTCTTCCGGAGAGGCCTTTTACGAGGCGTGGAATGTTATTAGTGACTAACCCGAACTTCGATCCCATCGGTTTCGTTTGCCATTTATGGCGCTTTATAGCCCTCGTTTCTATCTTTAATTCTTTAGGATTTAAAGGTTGGGCGGACATGGGAGCGAGTTTGCGACTCCTTTGCCTCTTCACTTACGGTGAAGCGAGTTGCTACCACATTTTCAAGGGGCAGCACAGAGCAAACCTAGGATTGATGGCATTTGTTGTCAGCGTTATTTATTCATTCAAGAAAAAATGCACTAACCATTGTTTGACTCGTGTTTTTGTTTGCCTTCGAATCCAGTTTAAAATCTTCCCGTTCACAAAGTTTTGTTCCTGATATTGAGGGCCTCAGCTATCGACAGTCTCGATGGGTCAGGTCACCGCATAACTATGCTGGTGCAGGCCTCTAATTTAGCTCGGGTGATGGTCTCATTGTGAGCCTCCCGCATGTGGTTCTTAGGTCCTCCAGATTGTAGATGGCATGTGAGTCGGCGGCTTACGGTTGTTCTAGTACGACCAATTGCAGTTTATAGTTTGAAGAAGTCTACAACCTTCTATATTACATGAAATTTTATAAACATTAGTTTCTTGAAGCAGTTCCAGATTTTTTTACAGGGATTATTATTCATGATAAGGTTTTTAATTTTCTTATATGTGTAGTAGATCACAAGATTTATTTTTCCGTTATCCGCTTTACTCTTGATATTATCGTGGATGATTGACTGTATAGGACTCGTTCATCTACTTTGTAGCCTCTGTTCATCTGGTTTTGGTAGAAGATTGTTGCGACGGTTCCATTATATCATGCTTTATTTCTAATTCGTTTCTTTTTCTCTAACAATAGCTCGGTAACAACCTGAACTTGTCTTAAGTAAGCCAAAATCAAGCATTTCGTTCAGCAATCGCGGTACCTGAGCGAGACGTCCAGGATGAAGGTGTTGCTGTCGTTGTCGCTGCTGTGCCTGCTGGTGGAGGTCCTCACCAACTACGCTCATCAGACCTACCGCCTGCACTACCGGGGCGCCGCCCTCTGCAACACCTACACCACGAGGAAAGCCTCGGTCGACAGCGTCATCACGGTGCGGGGCAAAGCATTTGATAGAAATAATTAAATCAAAGAGAACTTTAGTTTGCTATCTAGCATGCTGGGAGATCTTAATACAGCATTATTTGGAAACTTCACCTGTTGTATGACATCGTAACATATTAGAACTTTGTTATACTGTTTTATGGTGCATGATTTTCAACAGGTATACAAGTGTATGCAGATAAACTCTAGTCTGTATCTCGCATGCATGTGCCGTCGAAACTAATATCCTGCTGAACATTAGCGTATTGGGAAGCCCTGCAAGATGTATTCATTAAATTGTATTGGTAATATACAGAAGATGAATTATTTCACAAAATGCTTTAATCATTTAAGTACATATTCCAGAAGTTTACTAATACCATTTCGCGCTGTCCAGTGCGCATCGCTTGCTCTGTCAGTGAACGCCCCAGCGTTTGCTTACTGTGAGGGCGAGGCCGCGGACTGCATCCTGGCGACCTCAAACTATACTGTGGGAACCTGGGCCTCCTCAGCGCCATCCTGCCTCCTGTACTCCAGCTCCCCTCCGCTGCCTCCGCCTCCACCACCGCCTCTGGTAGCACCTTACCAAAATTAAAACATATAATATAAATGAAAATGAACTCGTATATCTCAAATTACGGTACAAGTCTCAGGTAAACTGCTTACCTCAGCCACAAAGAACAATCATAGTTCAGTGTCCGGCAAATGCCCTCAGCGCTACATAATCAAAAGTCTTGAGTTTCCTGAACCTCAAGGATGAAAGTAGTGAACCCGCAATTATATCTATACTCTGCTTGATGTTATATGGCTTGTCTAAATTCATTCTTGGCTTGCTGTTTCATACCACGTAATGCCTGCTCAGCATCAGATGAAAACCTTCGACACAGCAGCAGATGTCAACCTCCAACTCATGCAGCAGCAGATGTAAACCTTTTACTCAGCAGCAGATGAAAACCTACTCCGCAGCTGATGAAAACCTACTCAGCAGCTGATGAAAACCTACTCAGCAGCAGATGAAAACCTACTCAGCAGCAGATGTAAACCTACTCAGAAGCAGATGATTACCTACTCAGCAGCAGATGTAAACCTCCAACTCATGCAGCAGCAGATGTTATTCTTTTACTCAGCAGCAGATATGTGAACCTCCCACTCAGCAGCAGATGTAAATTTTATACTCATCAGCAGACGTCAACCTTCTACTCAGCAGCAGCTGTAAACCTTCTACTCAGCAGCAGCTGTAAACCTTCTACTCAGCAGCAGATATAAATCTCCTACTCAGCAGCAGCTGAAAACCTTCTACTCAATAGCAGATGTAAACCTTCTAACCAGCAGCAGATGTAAACCTTCTACCCAGCAGCAGATGTAAACCTACTCAGCAGCAGATGTAAGCCTTCTACTCAGCAGCAGTGTAAACCTTCTACTCAGCAGCAGATGTAAACCTTCTACTCAGCAGCAGATGTAAACCTTCTACTCAGCAGCAGATGTAAACCTAGCTTCTATTCAGTAACTAATGCAATCTCTTTCCAAGGCTTGTGTCAAAGAGAACGTAATTACATCAGCCTTTGATGAATGATTCAACCGCAGCCTCTCATTCAGGTTTCAGGTAAACGGTTCAATTAACATGAGACACCTGTAATTGATTCCCATAAGCCACGGGTTAAGGCTAACATCAAACTCATGCGGGTGCCTCTACTGAAGTGCTCCGAGAATTGCCTAAATTTTATACCATTAATTGTGTATTAGGCATGAGGTTGACTTGCGTGTTTCGACCTTCTCTTAAATGAACCTTTAAACTCTTATCTTCCATTTCTTGTCACTTTCCATAAATTATTTATGGATCATTCAAGTGCCTTTGCTGAGCAGTGACTTTGTTGATGAAAGTGCGCAGACGCTCCAGATTTGATGATATGGGAAAAAGATACAAATTAACTGACTAACACCAAGTAAGGACGCTTTTCATAACTAACACAAGGATTAAACAAATTTTCCTGCAGGGGACGAAGAAATTCGTGCTGAGTACGGGCAGTACTGGATATGGCGACTTGACGTCGCTCAGCACCAACGACCTATGCGCGGCGGATGGTCTCCAGTTTGCTGTGGTTTCGAGTTCTGCTGAGCTCCAGCTTCTCCTAGACCAAGTTGGGACCGGTAAGACATTCTGTTAAATCGGGTATATATTCTGTAGAATTATGAACACCATTATTTACTGATTTAAAATACAAAATTATTATCCAAAAATGTTTCGCACATAACTGAGAACAGCAACAGAGTAACCAACCTGAGGTGTGTGTGCCCCGCTGATGGCAGCTGGAAATCTTGAGACTGCGAACTGGTACAGTTCCAGATAACGGACTACCTAAGAGCGAAGGCCGCTGCCGCACCTTGTGAATGGTGTAGCCCACCGCGATTAACGCCAGGCAACCGACGGTTGAAAGTGTCGAATTAGCCATGCGTTGACCATAAGCAACTTGCAAATGAGGGCCGAGGAGCCGTGGGCGGTCGACCAGCATCCTCAACCCGGCCGGTTGAGACGGTGGACGTGGGTGTCAGACACGGGTACGGTACGGCAGCCGTGATGTTCTGAGAAACTTTGCCGTGATTTCCTTTAACCTGGCCTAATAAAGACTGGAAACTTGGACGAGGTTATCGAGTGCAAATTGTATCTGGTTGTATGAGTGATAGATTAATACTCGATGATATTATAACGATTCCAAATTATTAAAAGGGACCTATGTTTGGCTGGATTAACCTTTTAATCTATTTATACGTGTATCAGGAATTCTTCTGCCATACATTGTAGGTTTTTAAAGTATACCATATTTTCCTTTCCGATGTTCTTTTTACTGCAGAGGCCATGGCGCAATCTAGCTTTGAACTACCTAGTTAATAAAGCGTACCATCGAGCAAAATGCCCACGGGCGTAAAGTGAAATTTGACAATTACCCGATTATTTGAGTAGTCACTTAACACAGAGAGGAAAGACATTCTTGACTTTAGGTCAAATAATCATTTTTATTATATCATTTTATAATTTATGTTGTTTCTTAGTAGCTGTTATATTATATGTGTAATTTCGTGCAATGCAGTCACTCATATCCCGATGGTAGTACTGTTCTGCTAGAACTGACGATGTGACAATTCCTCGGTCCCATACGTGAATGCGAACGACGCGAAATGCTCCTCCCTATTCAACCAAACGAATCAAATGTTAAGAAATTCTGACGGACGCTCGAATTTCCAGGAATTACATGGCGAAGACAGCAACTGTTTCTTTGGTTTTTTGATAACTCAAGCCTGCGCTGACCGGACGGTGAGACCCACTTGATTCAAACTGAACTTTGATTAACGTATTTTGACCCAAACATTCCTTTCAGCGATCCGCTCGCGATGCAGCTACTCATGTTTGGCTTGGTACTGGATAAATTCCGCCCTCCAGTGGAAGGATGGAAGTGTGGTCAACCAGTGCGACATCATCATCGACCAAAGTTGGCCCGGCGCTTGTTTCGCTCAAACTGACAAAACGATGGCGCTGTGGACATTCCAGTGCACAACTAAAACTCCAGTCCCTGTCGTATGTCAAACTTACGTGTGAGTCTGCAAGAATAGGCGCCTTGTTTTTGAATGTCTGAGTAATTGAGACTTCTTCACAAAATTACGGCTTCATTTTAGTTTTTTCTTGGCTCCTCTACATCAACGAATATTATTCGTATCAAGTCTAGAGTGATTTTTTTTTCTGCATGCTTAAGACAAGGCCGCCAGACTACAATTGTATCTTGATTAAAGTAAACTTGTGTGCTCGACTTGTCTAAAAAAATTGTCTACGTATTACGTACACGAATGATTACTTAATTAAGAGGACTAAGGGAAATAATAAAAGGTTTTAAGAGAATCGACTTGCATGCATTAGAATTTCACTTTTTCCGATTATATTATAATGTAAGATGAGAATCGTGGCGCATACATCCAAAACTTGTAGTCCGAAATTCCTAACTGACAAGTTTAAATGTTAGACAACAGGAAAAAAGTTGCACAATACCCAAACATAATGTCTGGTGATTCAAACATAGGAAAATGTTGCGAATTTATTTAAAAATTATGGGAACTCTTTAGATTCCTCATTCCTCCTTAATTATTTAAAAATGTATATTTTTGGTTGAGCTATATATTAAAAAGTTACACTTACTACTAGCTTTTACGTGTGTAATTTTTATTTTGAATAACCTGAGTCAGTGTCGGGTAATGCGTTAAAGAAAAATCATTATTTTTATAGTATAACGAGAGGATTTCAAATTTAACGTAAGCACACTGTTAATTTATATAATTCGTTATTACCTCTTTTTTACTAACAATGATACAAAGAGGGTTCCAAAGAAACATAAAATAAATAAGATTTAAGCAGGTTTCATTGAAGACCAGAGAATTCGTTTTATTGACAATTTTCTTATTAGTTTTTTCAATAGATCCAACAAGATTTTTCGTTTGCACGAGTAAATCGAAAATCAGATTACCGAAGGACATTTTTATTTCTTTAACGACTTATCGAATGTTTCTATCATTAATTATCAGATTAATAGGTGCCTTTTAACTTGATAATGAATGATAGAAACATTCGAAACGTCGTCAAAGAAATAAAAATATCCTTCGGTAATCTAATTTTCGATTTACCCGTGCAAACGAAAAATCTTGTTCGATCTATTGAAAAAACTAATAAGAAAATTGTCAATAAACGAATTCTCTAGTCTTCAAAGAAAGCTGCTTAAAGGAACAAATTTTGCCATCATATACTAATAAATAAGATTTAGCTGCATTTACAGTCGTGAAAAGTTGTTACACTAAAGGAAGAATAAAGAAAATTGTTGATGTTGCTTCCCGACTCCATCTAATTCGTTATCAGTGGCTGTTATCATTGCGAAAGTTCCAATTAGGAAGCAATTATCATTGGGGCCACAATGAAGGCTAATTTTTAATTAATATACAAAATAATCGAGCACAACCGAGAGGAAAGATATC